TGCCGGTCCGGATGACAAAGGCGACGCCAGCATCGCGTAGCTCTGCCTTTGGGCGGCCCCGCCAGAAGAAGGTATAACCTACATACACCTCCTCAACGCGGCCTTTGTCGGAGAAATGGATTTCACTGAGTGCAGCGATGTCGACTTGAAGCATTCCAGTTGCCGGGCGAAGAGTGTTCCGGTCGATTGCTCTTCGGTTTGTCGAGAAGGGAGCGGACATTCCAACTTGTTAGTGTAATTGGGCTTACCCTAACACTCTGAGATGTCCATTAGGTTGGGAGAGGAAGGGGGAGGGAGTGGAAGACGAGAAATATTTTGGTTTCTATTGGAAGTAATTAGAGCGCGTGATTACAGTCTGACAGCCTCGGTCAGCTGGCAGATGTCATGACCCGGCATTTGGTTAGGGCACATTTTCTCGCCCCGTTAACCCTTGCGAAGGAGAAAGTAGTGCTAGCCCTAAATAGGGCTGCTCTGACACTCGAACTGCTGCTGAACTGCACTATGGGCCAAGATTAAGTTTAGTGAGAGAACGACAACCTAGTTCAGAGCCGCCCACGTGATTGCATGTTACCCTCGCCGTAGGACTTTTAGGACCGTGGGGGGAAAAATTTGGGGAGTGGGGGTGGGAGCAGCAGTAATTATCGTAGTAGCGGTAGTAGCAGGGGGGGGGCGATGTTTAAAAAATTACAGATGTCAGTTTTACTTCTAGATTGCCGAGTGTCTGGCAGAACTACTGTTATGACATACTTTGTCACCAAAAGTTCTAACAGTAAGGTTAAGAAAACAGTATAGGGGCGATAATAAAAGGCAGCAGTGCAACAACAAAGGGAGTATCAAGCAGAATAACAGAGAACAAATAGCAGACAGAATAGAGTAGGGCAATAGAGCAACTGATAGAATGCTAAAGGATAGCAGTATTTCAGCTACTAAGTTATTGTAACTACTAACAATGATATCAGTAATGCTGGAGGTACTAGTAGATGGTGTGATACTGCAGGAGTAATGAGGTACAAGCGCTGATGATGAAGATAGTAGAAGCGATAGTAATAATAGTGTTCATAGTAATCTCTAGTGGCAGTAAGTATTGATAGCTAGGAGTAGTAGCAATGACTAGTAGTTTTGTTGATAAGGGTTAGAGATGAAGGTGCTGCGTAAAATACTCCACTACTGGAAGGCTACTGTTGCATCTAGGGTTACGGCATGACCACGGAAACGTGAAAACAGGTTCTAGTGCTGTTGTGATGGCTATGGAGTACAGTACCAACCGTCTATTACGTCTACTATGATAATTACAGCTGCTGCCTGGGGAAACACCGGAGACTTTCGCTTGGTTTCGCCCGCCGATCAAGACGGTTTCCGGGGAATGGTCGCTAGGCTGA